TTATTAATAAAGTCTTCTCGGGCTATCAGTCGTGTTAGTTAGTGATCAATCACCGACGTTTCGACGACCATCTCTGTCCTCATTTTCAAGGCTACGAGCTACACAGCCTTGAAAATTTGACAGAGATGGTCCTCGAAACGTCGGTGATTGATCACTAACTAACACGACTGATAGCCCGAGAAGACTTTATTAATAATATGATCTGTTATTGTCGACAAGGAAGGATATAATACCATAATCAGTTCAAGCTGATGATATAAGCATCCATTAGACACAGCTTATAACTTGATTATTCTTGTGCAACATATTACTCTTCAATCTCTTACGTTAACTTTTCAACACACAGTGTGCAGTACCTTCTTTATTTATCTTTCGAACAACATTCACCCAATCTTCCAGTCTTGGAGCACATGACAGAGCTAGATCACCTAATTTTCGTCTTGCCATGAAAACAAATTCTCCCGTCCCGTGCCTTGCACCACAGTGAAGAGCGACGTTCAGTAAAACTTGCCCGTCACTGTTGTCCGTCACAACATTGTTTGATTCACCATCCAGTGACAAAGATGTCGGTGCCATGTTGTCTTCTGTAGACTGTCTCAATAACTTTGTCACTTTCACAGTAAGCTGAGCTGCATCGAGCTCATCTCTGTTTTCTATGCTTCTAATAATTCCTCGAGTAACTGTAACGGAGGATATCGATAGGATTAACAATTTATCCATGCATCCTTACGAGTGATACAATACTGGTATTAAGGTTTACATGCGTCATGTTTGTGTTTTGGATTAAAATATATAATAAAATACAGGTCAATACACAAAACTATATTTGGGTGTTAAAATTTAAATGTTAAAATTTTAAATTTTAAATTAGCGCTATTCATCACTATAAGGATGTTACATTTGCGCGCTTTTCTTCATTTCACAACATGTTTCGATGTAATACATCATCTTCAGGTGTTGTTTTTTATTTAAAACTGTTTTATATTAAATGCATGCCTTTCAATAATTTATTATTGTAATATGTTTCGCTGGTCTTCTCGTTTTTCCCATCTTATGTTTGTTTTGAAGTATGCATAAGACGTGTTGTGTGGTGTCTCACGTCTGCTCGGGTTGAT